TACATGGGTGCCGGCAGTCAGACTGGAGTGTTCTCCTGGCCATGCCTGGCACTTCTGTGCCCGCTTGCTGTGTCTTCCACAAGGACTGATTGCCCCACAGTCTCCACGGGTCTCAATTCTGTCTCCTCGTTGAAAAAAGAGTTTACCTTTGCCTCCATCCAGGTGTGGTCTTCCGCTCATCTCATCTTCAGTGTCGCCCTCCTTGCTTTCCCTTTGTTCATTTGTGAACTTGGTGTGTCTCTACTGTGAGGCTGGTCCCAGCTGATTCTGCTGCATGTCCATCCCCGCGCCTCCCCCAGGGCCTTGCCAGGAGCAGAGAGATGCATAGGAAATACTTGTTAAATTAGTACTTGAAGAGACAGTATAATTTAGTTGGCTGCTGGTTCAGGAAGCAGAAATCTTAATTAGAATTGTGTGTGTCTGTTTGCCTCCGACTTCTCTCCTCACCCTCCCCGCTGTCCCTGGGTGGGATGCTAGTGGCCCTTCCCCCGACCTCTGACTGTGACGGCTGGAATTAATGAGGTCATGTTACATGTACATCAGAGAAGGTGCTGGATAAATACAAGTGATGGTATTGTTGTTGTTTGTTGTAATTATGTTCTGGGTCCTGTGTTGCATAATGAGCTATATAATGCCTCGAGCGTTTTAGGAATTAACTATCAGATGATTGTAAAACACTTTGCAAGTTTGTCACATTGGGGTGGATGGAACCGACGATAGAGCCCATTGAATTGGAAGAGGCAGGGCAGACGGGTTTGCAGGATTTCGTGTGTTCCTGTCCCTCTCATGGGTGTGTCCCCTGGCCTCCCCCAGACAGTTCCCTAATTGAGGTTGGATGCTTGTGACGTTCAGAATGAGAACCAACAATACTTGTGTGGGGTTTAATGGCATCAGGAATCATTAAGGAGACAAAAAGCCATGATTTCCCCTGGATTAACATACAGGTTGGGGTTTGGCATGCCGAGATTCATTGTTTTGGTCTCCAGCCCAAACATGCTAGAGTCATTATATTGTCATGTGGTAATTAGCTGTTCCTTTAATACAAGTAATAAAAATTAAGCCTAAGAGGTACTTTAGCAATGCCTTTTACATAATCCAAAACAATATTCAAATGCTGTAGGCGTCTAGTCATTCAACTGTACTGCAGTAAAGTTTGAAGTTTAATGCATAGAGATGTTTGAACATTCAGTTCATTCTTTATTCTGTGACCAGTTTTGCTACTTAGGCATTAACCTTTAATAGTGTTAAATTAAATATACATGCCTAATGAATAATTATGAGATTGCCAGAATTTTCATTTACAATGTAATGCTTTGAAATTTTGTCTAAAGGTCTAGTTCCCATTCACTTGATAATGTGCATGTTATTTTTTATATGTCACTGAGTTCCTGGCTGAATTGAACGAGAGAAGCTATTTTTTATTTGAAGCAGACACAGTGGGTCCTGGCCTTTTAAAAGGAATGGACTAGAAAAGTTGTCGACAGAAATTTTGGGGATGGAGAGGGCAGGACACTAGCTTAGCTCTCTAAAAATATAACGTGTACGGGCAGTTGTGCCAGAAAGCCGACGTGCGCAAACGTTAATAGAATGTTATTCAAGTACGGCGTTTCTCCTTCTCCTCAATCCTTCCCTGACCTTGGTGTCAAGTTCAGATGGGAGTTCTAGGTGAAGGGGGCCCTGGGCATCCTGTTTGTGTCCTTCAGGCCAGTTGCCCAGTGTGAGACCACAGGGAGAAGGGTGAAAAAAGTGGCGGTTGGAGGTGGGGAGGTAGGAAGGAGAAGCGTGGAATGGAAAAAACAGGACAAAAACCCCGCACCTGGAACGTTCGGAAGAATTCAGCCTCTGGTGTTAACGCTACCCCTACTTACAAGGAACTGTTTCCCCAAAATAGCTTTTGAAATATAATTTAATGTAAATATTTTAATGCTGATTAAAATAATAATGAAAAGCCACAAATGAGAAAACGATGTAGTTATAAACTGTGTATACACCCAGGATAAATGCCCCCCTGGCCACGGTGTCACGTGACGGGCAGTGTTGTGTTAAAGCCCACGTGCAGGTCCGCCGTGGCGCTAGACATTTCCCAGTGCCTGCCTTTCTGTAAACTCTGCAGAGACATTGGCATCTCACAGAGTTCCTGGCTCCTGGCGGCCTGGCCCACTAAGGCATGGGAGATCTCCCCTCACTTCCAGGAACCGAGGGTGGTCTGAAAATTAATGACACTGGTGTTTGAAAATTAAGTGAGCTCTTGAATATATACACTTGTTGATCCACAGGGCTTGGTGTTTAGCATTCCTCAAGCAGAGACTAAATCTTTGCAGCCACCTCACAAGTGAGGCTGGCGTCCATACCAGAAATATCTTCAGTAATCTCTTCTAAGCCCAGCGGACTGGGGTATTCCACTCCGACGGGGCCCGAGAATTCTAGGGGAGGCACTCCACCGGTGCCCAGCAGGTGGACCAGAAGTGCCTTTCAGGCAGCAGAAAGAAAAATAAAGAGCAGATCGACGCCCAGAGAGCATCTAACGTCTCTCCATTTCACGCTGAATTAGCGATAAAGTCAAAGGCCAAGAGTCAGTATTGCAGATTCCGTGTCTGCAGTCTCAAATTTGAGGTTAAAATCCAGTTTTGTGTAAGTCAGCCTGATTGCAGTTGGTACACCGAGTTGGCCATAGGACCCCACGTGACCAGTCCAGGTGCAGTCTCCTGCAGTCCATACTATGATCCGGGGTGTCTTGGCCCCCCCAGCTGGCAGGCCCGCTAAGTAGCCGGGAAACCTTGGGCAAGTCATTGTGCTCCCCCGAGCTTCAGTCTCCACTTGTGTGACAGGAATGCGACACACCGTCACATCCCCTTCCTAGGATTGTGGGGAAAATCAGAGAAAACGTCTGTCAGAGTGTGTCTGACGGTGAGACACTGTCAGAGGATCAGGTGTTATTTCCAGCTTCCTAAGAATTACTGGAAACTTGAGGCTTATGGCACCTTGCCACACACTGTCCATCTTGCAAGCCTGGTGGACTTTCCCGGGTTTCCTCCCCTTGTCACCTCCACACGCATCCCCTTCCTGTGAGTCCGATCGAGGACCGAGAAATCCTTCAAGTGTCACACCATGCCAGAGAGGTGGGCAAATCCCAGTGCACCCGTGGCCATTCCCAGGCCGCATCCATAGGCTGTGGCCCTGGAGGGTGCGTCTGCATACACATCCTTTGTAGGCCGCAGAGAAGCGTCCCCAGCCAGCCAGCCCTGGGGCCCAGGGCTCTGCGGGGGGCAGGGGGACAGGGAGGCCACAGGTACCATGGCTTCTGGCAAGCGGTGGCATCCACAGGGGAGCCCGCGGGAGGCTGACTTCCTGGGCACCGCAGATGGCCCGCTCCGAGCCTCTGCGTGGCCGTGAACGTGGCCGGTCCATGGCCAGAGTGGGGTGACGGGCGTTTTCCTCTCCCGTAGATCCCGTGCCTGCTCTGGACCTTGGGCAGCAGCTCCAGCTCAAAGTGCAGCGTCTGCACGACATTGAAACAGAGAACCAGAAGCTTAGGGAAACTCTGGAAGAGTACAACAAGGAATTTGCCGAAGTGAAAAATCAAGGTTGGTGGCAGATCCGTTCTGTGCTTTGCTTTGTCTTGTCTTTGCTTTCTTTCTTTCTTTTCTTTTTTTTTCCTCTGCCTCTAATTGCCTTCCCCACGCTGTTGGGACTAGCTCTAACTGTACTCCACGTCACGAAGTCAGGGTGGGGCCCAAATCAGAATCGTTAAGGAGAGATAATCATAGTAATAACGCTTAGCCGTTTGGAAGCCAGACTTCTCCTCAGCACAATAACAACACATGCAATATTTATTGCCCTGTGACGGGACCATCCAGGATTCTTTCACATTCTTCCTGGACCATCATGTGATGGGATCCGCCTTTTAAAAGGCTGATGTGTTGCCTGCGGGCGACACCTGTCAGAGAGCCAGCTCGTGATCAAAGGGCCACGGCCAGTAAGTCCTTTAGTAACGGCCGCTGGTCCGCGTCCCCTCATCCTTCCGAATTTAATGAAAGAGAACCAGTGGGGCTGCCCAGCTGGCGACCGGGGCCGGGAGGGCAAAGGTCGCCTGGCTCTTCCTGTCGGGGAAGAACAAAGAGATCTCCGAGGCACCTCAAATCCAGATGTGGTCACCGTGTCCAGGAGCCCGCAGGCTTCCCTGTTGCGGGCACAGAGCGAGGCCCCATGTCGCAGCAGCTGTGGGTCGTTCTGCCAACGCCACGTAAAACTTCACCTGTGTGTTTCGATTTGGAAGTGTGGGCGAGGAAGGAGCTGGGAGCCAGAGGCTGACCTCTTGGGTGACTTTGGAGGGCTCTCTTTAATCCGCTCTGAGCGCTGGATACAGAATCACTTAGATCTTTAAAGTGTCCTTTGGCTTTGAGACCATTGGAGACAGGCTTCGAGAGGCAGTCCTGAGGATCCCCCTTCTTCCCCACCCCCCGGGAGGGGGAGCACAGAACCAGAGGAATTGCCACCTCGCTCTAGCTCCACAGGGAGCGGTAAGCCTTTGGGGCGAATTGGGACAGCATAGTCCTGCTTCAGAGTGAGGCGTTGGACATAGCAGGCTGGGATCCAGGTGAGAGAAGGGGCTGCCTGCCCCCCCCCCACAACTCCGGGTGAGAGAGAACCTGGAAATGCACACATCTGGGTTCCTTGTAGCACTACCCAAAAGGAGGGGGCTGCTTTTTTTCCCTCCCGTGACCTCTGACGTCTCATTTTGCAAGACCTACTCTTTGTGTTTTTTTATGGATTGATTTTTTTGTTGGAGGACGTGCTGGTGGGCCCAGGGCTTTACGTGGCCTCCCTCCCCCGCCTGGCTCGGTCAGCACCCCCATGGCTAGTTGCCCAGCGAGGAACCGTAACTGAGTGTGGGATGTCCTCCTCCCCAAAGGCCCCATCTCATGGGCTTTGTTCAATGAAATACCATAGTCCCATGACTTAAGAACAAAGGCTCCAGAGGCGGACAGACCTGCTTTGAGACCCTTCGGGGCCACTGTTTAGCTCTGAGACCTTAAACAAGTGATTGAGGGACCTCACTTTGTGAAAGTCCTCCTTTTCTTGGATAGGAGGCTTCACATAGTAACCACTTAGGATTGTGGTGGGCTTACATGAGATGGGGAAACCTTTACCTCTTTTCCCAACACTCAGTACATATCAGAGGCTCTTAGTGTACACGGCTGTTTTTTCTAGAAATTCCCAGCCCCCCCTTTATTTATTGATATCTTTATAGATTTTTCCCAAATTCTAGAAAAATGGCGATTTCCTCTCTTTTCTTACCAGTATACAGTGGTTTTGATTTGGGAAGGTGGGGTGTGCGTCACGTGTATTTACCGTCACAGCCGTAGCGTAGATGGATGAAAAGTTACAGCAGGAAGGGCCTCTCTTTATCAAGTGCTGGAACTCTCCCTGCCGTCTAGAGCAGAGCGCTGCGGTCCTCTCTGGGACCATTCTTCCTCCTCACGGGCTCATGTTGGAGGGGTTCCAGCTGGGACACATCCGGGAGAATGTCCCAGACCCAGGCCTGCCTGCCAGAGGAGGACCAGAGGCTCCAGGACGAGCCAGCCCCTGGCTTAGTCTCGGCTGGCCAACGAGCAGCCCAGGCGGGGTGGGGATGGCAAAGAGACCTCATCAGATGGAGTGGGAGCCCCCAGCTGGTGCCCCAAACTCCCCTGGGAGGAGCATAGCTGTGTCACACTGAGAAACCCCACTGGGATGAGCACTGAGGTCCACAGGCGATACAGATATTTCCCACCAATTGTGAGAGGCAGAAATGCTAGACGTTGACAGTCATATAGACCATTGACTTAAAAGAGTGTGCATGTGTTTTCAGAGTTGACCTGTCATGGCGTCCACTTGGGAAGTGGACAACTTTGGCCCTATCCGTGTGGCTCGACAGTGATGTGCATCACTAGCCATGAGGCCCACAGAGCGTTTTTTTCAGGCCCCAAACAGCGAGCCCCAAAGGCAGAAAGACCCCCTTTCTCCTTTCAGGTGCCCTGACAGGGTCATTGGTTTTAATTTCCTCTCTCTCCCTCTAAGGAGAACCCTTTGGGTTCCACTTAATGAAAAGGGCCAGTTTCTTCTCTTAATGAAAGAGCCTTTAGCTTTTATCCACTAAGCCATGCAGGTACTAACTGCCCAGCACCTCTGTGCAGTTGGGGGAGTAAAAGTGGAAGCGAGTTACAGCCTGAAGGACTGGAGGCCTTAGTGCAAGCTCTTACTTGGGCGAAGACCTGGCAGCCAGTGTCGTCCTGTGAGCCTCAGCCCCATTGTCACAGGCCCCGGTCAACCTGCCTAGCCTCCTCCATTCATTCGTGCCTTGGCCCTTGCTCGGCCTGGCCTTTTACGAGACGGATCCACGCACAGCAGGTCGGCTCCCCAAGGGCTCTACTGTCCCTGGAGCTGGGACCGCAGTGCCCTGCCAGGGAATGTACAGCACAGAGGGTGATGTGGGGGTGTCTGTGGTAGGGAGCAGGCGGAATAGTCCTGCCCTCGAGCCACCCATGGGTCTGAGTCAGGACCCTGCCCTGCTCATTATATCTGCTTTGGCATTCCCATTTGGGGTCATTAAAGTGAGGGCTCTAAACATGCACTCGGTGGTGGTGGGACCCTATTCCCCATGGGACCCTGTCCTGAGCACTGAGCCCCGCAAGACTCCTCCATCACCCAGCACTTCTGCCCACACGCCTGGCACTCACTCTCCCTCAGGTGTGGCTCCCCAAGGCCCTGCACCACCTGCTCTGTGCGCACAGCCCCCATCCTCTGGACTCCAGCCTGGGTGGTGGGTGTTTGGCACCCAAGCTCCAGGGTGTGTCCCTTCGAGCAGAGGAGATGCACACCGTGTCCACTTAGCACACTGTGCACTCCATCGCTTGTGAAACCGGGGAACCACAGCCCAGGGCCGGGGACGTCTGTAGACTCACCTGACTTTGGCCAAGACCCCTTCTTCCAAAACGCGCACACGATTATGAACTGTTTTCTTTGTGAGAAAGTACTTAAACCGCACAAAAACACGATTCGTCTTTCCTCAGTAGAGGACTAATTTAAAGTTTATCAATAAGATGATATTCTGTGTGACCACTGATTCCCCCCCACACACACACACACTTTTTTTTAAGTTGTATTGAAGAAACCATAGCTATTCTTCCCAGCAAAATCCATTGATCCTCCACAGCCTAAATGTTTAAAGTTCAATTTAACATTTAGGGAGTAAAAGGTCTCCGAAGGGACTCATAACCATTGATTTTGTGTCAGGGTTGAGGAGCTAAAGTTTAAAACACAGCAATCCTACCAGGTTACAAAAGCCGCGTGGAATCGTGCTCGGCCTCTCACGCCCATGTTTCCCTTTCTGCAGAGGTTACGATAAAAGCACTTAAAGAAAAAATCCGAGAATATGAACAGACTCTGAAGAACCAAGCGGAGACTATAGCTCTCGAAAAGGAACAAAAGTTACAAAATGATTTTGCAGAAAAGGAGAGGTGAGTGTCTGTTGGGGTCCACACGAGACCAGCCCAGGTCGTAAACCTCGCTCTGTGGGGCTCTCAGCAAAATTTTTTTGAAAAATAAAGGCGTCCCTTACTCTGTCACCTGAGAGATTACCTTGAGTGCCGTGCATCGGTCTTTACCCGTGGGGGGATGGCGTCAGGTGGTCAAGGGGACCAGAGTGGGTCCAGGGCGGGAACGGGAGCCCGGGTTGGCTTGGAGCCAGGCGGGGTGAGGACCAGAGTGGGTCCAGGGGTTGAGCACAAAGCGTGTGTGCTTGGCATGTGCTGACGTGAGCTGAGATGACAGGGCATGGCCGTGTGCCCTCTCCGGGGACGCCCTGGATGCACGTCGGTCAAACTCCTGCCACCTTCTGAAATGAATGTGGATATTTAACATTACACACAAATCTTGTTTTTTTTTTGGTTTTTGGATTTTTTTGTTGTTTTTTGCCTCTTTTCTGTACCTCACCACGCTCCATATATCAAGCAGCTGATATCAATAAAATCTGTTACAGATAGAGAAACCGGGCTTCAGATTTGGGACCTGCCCACGTTCTGCCGCTAGCCACCCAGAGGTGGGACCAGAGCCCAGCCCACCACTCCAGCTCTGGCCTCCCCTGGTGGTCGCATGTAGCCTCCCAGAGTTCTCACTGCAGGACCAAGGCCAGTCCTACGCGGCCTGGGAGAGCAGGGCCAGGTGCTGCCCCCCCCAGGAAAGAAGGGAGCCCCACAGAGTCAGGGCTCTGAAAGCTGAGCAGACTCTTGACCCAGCCCCAGCGTGCCTCCTAGGAGAGCACTGTATGCCCAAAGCAGTTTCTCACCATGTTACTGATATTAGGGTGAGGGGATGGGATAAAAGCAGTCAAAATGCCCGGCCAGAGAGAAATGCGTAGATAAAGCTGGGCCATCCCCAACTGGAACATTACACAGCCATTAAAATAATAGCAGTGTAGAATTTGAAATGAGACCAGCAATGTATCCAGCATGATAGGGAGTGAAAAATGCATGATACAGAATTACATACCACGTGATTACAGTTGCACAGAGCGAAGTCATGCATTTGAAAATTGTGGAAGTAAATTCATCTGGGAATTTGATATTATTAAATTGGCTTTTCAAACTAGGTAAAAGAATTAATTATATTTAAAGATGCAAATATCGGACTGACCACTTGGGATGAAGGATAAAGCTAGATTTTTTTTTTTATCTCGTTCTTTACACCAAGAAATTGAAAGGGATCTACGGTTTCAACATTAATAATTCAATCATGTACATACTGGAAGAAAACTTAGGCAAGTTGTTTTTAATAATTTTAGAGTAGGTATTTCTAATCATAATTGAAAACCAATTGTTAAAAATAAATAACAATAAACATTGTAAAAGCATCAAAAAACTAGGAAGACATTTTCCCACCACATAAGGGCCCTTACAAATTAATAGGAAAAAAAATGAGTGCTATGAAGTGGACGAAGGAGATACACAGACAGTTCGTACAAAGTGAAACGAATGCTCAGCTTTACTCAGCAGAAAAATTCAGTTTAATTTTATCCAGTGTTGGCACGGGAAAACAAACACTCACATATTGTTGGCAAGAGTTTAAATTAGTGAGGTTTTTGTTGTTGTTGGGAAGTTTCTCAATATCAGAACAACAGTAACAAAAAATTGCACGTACTCTTTGACCATTCTAATTCCTCTGCTAGAACTTCATCCAACAGATTCACTGTCAGAATTATACAACAATGTCTGCATAATGATCACTGCAGAATTGTTTAGTGGAAAGAGGCGATAAACAATCTAAGTGTCCACAGAGGCTGGTTACGTTAATTATTTAATAAGAATGGGGAGGAGCTGTGTATGCTGGTATAGAACACTTCCAAAGTAAGGAACTAAGTGGAAAAGCAGGCAAGCCTTCGGAACTAAGTGAAAAAGCAGGCCAGCCTGTGTGTGCTAGGATCCCTTTCACACTAAAAGGGGCAGAGAGTGTATATTACACTCTTGTATATTACATGTGAGTTTATAGAATAGTTGTGCTGGTGGGTTTGGTTTTTTTTTTTTTTTTAACTCGGAACCTGTAATAGTTTTATAATTGGAATATGTGAAAACGTGAGCAGTCCTTCTCCTTAGGGGATGGAAATTTGGGTGATTTTTTTTTTTTCAAACAGTGTAATTTCTACTTTTCTGTATTCCCAGGTTTGTTAGTCTGAGATCATGTGTTCTGTTCATAAGATGTAAAAATAATGAACCTATTTTTAGAAATTTTCTGCAGATGAGGAGGGAGGAATGCTATTTATTGACCAGGGAATTCATTTGGAGATCAAGGGAAATGTGAATCTGGGGACACTGGGTTCACCCGTTGAGCATCGCCCATTAGGTATTACCGTCACATTTGCATCCCATTATACCAGACCTGGAGCCACCTGTCACATCTATTAGCACGTCCTTTATGCCAACAAATTCCTCATTGTGTCAGCAAAATGTAAATGTGTCATTCTTCTTGGGTAACTTCAGAAAACAATGAGTGCCTGATGATGGTTTTTTGTTGTGTGTTTTTTTTTTAATATCTGGCATGTGAGGAACAAGTTACATTTAAGATAACTGGCTGCATCCATTAGCACACGTCAGGTCCCTCAGGATGCACGCTCCACATGGTGTCACACGTGGGTACAGAGTCTCGGGGTGCTGAAGATCGGGGAGCAGGCACATGGTGCTCATGGCACCACCAGCAGTAGCCAAATTGTGTGCCTGTTGCCAGATGTGTGGGTTGCTGCAAAGATCATTGGCCGCCGAGCTCCAACGCGCACGAAACGTTCACGTTGGGAAACAAGATGACCAGTTGGCTTTATTTTCTTCCTTTTCAGAAAGCTGCAGGAGACACAGATGTCCACCACCTCAAAGCTGGAGGAAGCGGAGCACAAAGTTCAAAGTCTGCAGACAGGTGTGATGGTCTTCATCCTAGTCAAGCCCATTCGGGGAAGACCAAAGTCGGGGGGCTTTGGGCCGTCCCCTGGTCCGCACCCTCCCCCCTCCCCGTACCGGGCACCCTGGAGGAGTGAAGGAGCCCACGCTCCTCAGAGCCCCCCAGCCTCTCCACCTTGACTTCATTATCACCCACACTGAGTTATTAACGTCGAGGAAGGAGGATCTGAATTCCTTTTCCATCCCTTCCACACGCCATCCTTTCTTTCTGCTCTTTTTCCAACAAACACATCTAAATTGCCAAGCTGTCAAGAACTGACATTTCATTTGGAACAATAATGGGGGAAAAAAACAAAAAACAAAAAAACCACAACACTTATTTCTACCCTAAGTGAAGTTAAGCATAGTAATAGCAGATCTTTACAATTTAAGATGCCCAAAAAGATTGTGCTACAGTTTTTATCATTTCTTTATGCTTTTTTCTTCTCCTTCTTTCTCTCTTTTTTTTTTCCTGAAAGGGAAACTGCGTCATATACTTAATTTAAACGTGGAGGGGAAGGCATCAGAAGGACAGAGTATGAAAACATACAGCACGGTTCCAGACACGTGAATAAGACCCCCAAACTCTAGAGGCCGCCTAAAAATCACTAAGAAATCAGTAAAAAGAGATAAACAGTCCAGTAGAACGAGGGGCTAGAGACACAAACAGGCAGTCTGCAGAGGAGATATGCACATGGCCAGTACACACATGAAAAAACATTAACAATTCGTAACAGGCAAGAGGATGCTAATTAAATCAGGGAAAGATTGTTTTGCCTGTCAGACTGTCAAAAGAATTTTCTTTAATTGATAATATCCGGTGTTGGTGAGAGTATAGGAAAATAGTCCCACTCCTAGTATTGATGGGAATGTAAGTTGGCCTGTCAGGGGAGCCAGCTAGGTGGCGTTTGTCTGTCTGGAGCGTCTCAGCTCCTTACCCCAGGACCTTGGCTTCTGTGGGTCCTCAGGTGCCCGGCATTTGGCAGGCTTCGTGCAAGAGCTAATTGTTACTGCCTGTGTCCTGACATGGAGCGCTTTCCAGGCTGTTCTGCTAAAGGAAAAGAGCAAGTCTCAGAATATATGTGTATCATCCTATCTGTGTGGGGCTGGGAAAAAAACAAAACTCTCTCTCTCTCTTTCTCTCTCTCTCTATATATATGTACACACACACAGTTAATGTATGGAACTATTTTTTAAATAATCAAATATATATAAAAGCAGGAAATCTGCACACTGAACCGGTAACAGGAGTTATCTCCAAGGAGGTGCATGGATAAGATGAGGTGATCTTTGGCCCCATTCTGTGTACTTTTGTCATCTTTGAGTCCTTGGATGTGAATATATTGCTTGTACACTTTTTCCCTTTTTTTTTTTTTTAGGGGGGGAGGGGCGGGGGAAGAGAGAGAATCTCAAGCAGGCTCCATGCTCAGCGCAGAACCCGACGCGGGGCTCGATCTCACGACCCTGAGATCATGATCTGAGCCGAAATCAAGAGTCAGATGCTTAACTGACTGAGCCAACCAGGCCCCCCTACTTTTTCTTTTTTAATTTAATGTGAATGACTGGTATCTTATATTAAGGTTTTATGTCCTCTGCCTTTCAGCCCTGGAAAAAACTCGAACAGAATTATTTGACCTGAAAACCAAATATGATGAAGAAATTACTGCCAAGTAAGTCTCTGCCCGGTTCCCTCCATCGGCATGCTTTCGGTCAGGTATCCCCCGATTTTGCTAATCCACAGAAGAGTCCCCCTGCCTCGCCCTCCTGTCTGTTGGCTTTCGCAAAGCGGGACAGGGTTCAGGAGGCGCTCGGCCTCAGAGCTGCTGTGAGGAAAACAGTGTCATCCCCGTGAGCTGCTTGCGTCAGTCTAATACCCACGATGTGACAGTAAGCTCTGGTGGCCCTAGGACACTGGAACTTGTGTCCTTAATTATTGTGAAGCCTCGTCACCATGTGCCTTTTTCTAAGAAAGTTTGGGAACAGGGCATCCTATAGAAGAGGTGACTCTTGGGACGTTTTGGAGAGCTGGGTCTGTGCAAATCGCATCACCTTTTCCTGTGGCCGCATCCTTGGCTCCCACACAGAAGTATTTACGCCCGTCACACCTCAGAACACGAGGCGTCCGTGTGCGGACACACACGCGTAGGGTGCACGCGCGTCACGGCGGGCGTGTCACCCGAGGCTCTTGTCAGAAGGAAATCAGTGATCTGGGGCAGCGCAGGTGCACCCGCTGCCGGCCCGCCCTCCATGCAGAGCCCCCGGAAGGAAGGAACAGTATTGACAGAAATCAAGAGAGGTGAAAAAGCAGCAGAGATTGGCCCTAGCCCCAGTCTCCTCTGCCGAGGTCCAGACAGGCAGAACCGCCAGACGAGAGGTTGAGCCACATCCTCCTGTCCTGGGAGGCTCCCCCGGTCTCCGGCAGAAGCCCATGCCCCCCAGGCTGCTCCGCACCAGGGAGGAGGGGCTCCTGCTGTGCTCCCATAGAACCTGCGCGGGCATCGGTGCGGGGGTGGGGAGGGTCTGAAGAGCACCGCCTCCTCCCGGGCTCCCGCTCTATGCTAGGCGTCCCTCTGGGTCCCATCACACTCGCCCTTGGCCTCTGACGTTGCTGCTGGGCCTGCTGCTCCCAGGGCCCACCTCGGTGGGCTCTCGACCTTTGCTCTGCATCGTTGAGTAGCTAGAGACCTTGAGAGCTAGCCAGGCCTGGCGGGCGGAGCCGATTTTGATCATGAGCACAGAACTTCGGCGCAAAGACGAAAATACCCTCCTTGGTCTCGGCGACTCTGGCCCACCTGTTGGCATATCTAATCCCGGTGGGAGTTGCCAGGTCATTCTACCTTCTTGTCTCGGCGTGCTGAAGTGTGACTTCAGGTGGGATGGAAGGAGCTGACTCTCAGGTGTTTAACTGTTAAGATTTCCCTCTGAAACGTGGAGGCTCCGGTATTAACTCCTCCGACCCTGGGCACCAGCGTCGATGGGTTGGCCCTCACCCCCCCACTCACCCCTCAGATGGAAGCTCAGCAGAAACCATACCAACTGCTGTCACCCTGATACTCCTCGGTGTCCGTGTCTGGCCCCCCTATTCTGCCAGCCTGCCACCTTTATTTTTCTATTATTTCTGCCTGGACTTTACTAAGAAGAATAGTCATTGTCTTTCTTGGTAAATTCCCCTTTTTTTTTTTTTTCACTAGTGTTCATTATTTTATTAAACCACATCTCTTTCTAGAAGACATAGATATATCTTGTGTTTCTATAATTAACCAAAGCTTGCTTTGTTACTCACTTCAAAAGTTGTGCAATCCGTGTCTAAGCCCCCCTAAGCCAGTCTTTCTCAAACTGGGTGTCACAGGGACAAAATCAGTGTAGTGAGTAGCGACCGGCTGGTTGAACAATAAAATACAATAGAAAACGAAATAACAGAATGGAGTAGACAGTATCGTGGCTCATGGCACATAGTGAAGTCAGATATTGTTTTGTGACACTTTTGTGTCCATTATGTGTATAAATCTAAAAATATAAATGTACAGTTATTGGGTCGCAATGTAAAATGCAGTTCTTCCGGTGGGTCTCAATGAAAGATTATTTTGAAAGCCACTGCTCTGAGAGTGTTATAAAAGGCTCGGCTTCCAGAAGCCGGCGTCTCCTGCCGTGTCCTCCCGGGGCATGCTGGGGAGGTGCTTTTAGCCTCAGACATGCACCTACTTGAGGAAAAGAAACAGCCTGAGGACAGAGCATCTACCGAAACCATTCAGAAATGACAGCAAATAATGCCACTTGTCACATGACGGCTAAGTACTGGTCCCTGGTTTAGACTCATCATTTCCTTATTGGGCTTCTAAAGGAGCCACGTAGAAAATTTGTGTCCATTTAGTTGGTTTTGTTTTAGGGGTTGGGGAAGCGACTGAGCAGAGAAGAGTCATCTAGAAAGGGCGTAAATGTTCCCCGCTCACAGGTTTCCATCCCCGCTGGGTGGGGAATATGGTGGCCGGGGAGTCACCAGGAGACAGCCCAGAGAGTCAGGGTCTCCCATCCTCTGTCCCTACCCTCTCTGACCTTGCTAGAGGCCAGGCTCACGCTGGGGAATGACAGCTCAGTCACCTGTCAGGGCCCTGCTCCCAGGTGATCCTGCTCCCTTAAGATGACAGGGATGATTTTCAGCCTTAAGTATTTTTCTAGTTACTGTCTATAGACGCATTGACTCCTGGGCTGTTCTAAGCAGCCGGCTCTGTCATGTTACAGGTAAGAACATTAAATCTTGGGTCCCCTGAGCCAGCAAGGTCACCCAGGGAAGCCCCAGAGGCCCTAGACCTCTCCTAGACTCCGACCCTACTGGCATCTGATGAGCAACGGCGGTTACTGGTGTGGGCTCAGTGAGAAATGTTTCTGGACGGTTTCTCATCGTATCAGCGTGTCTTAAGGCCAAAAAGATTTTTTTCCCCCTAAAATCCAAATAAATGAAAATCCATGCATTACTTGCTCATGTTCACCAAACTCCAGTAAGTGGAAAATAGAATCAAGAAGTATGAGAGTTGCTTATTCCAACAGAATGTTCAGCTTCAGGACTGTGGCTGTTGTCACAGACTGCTTTCGGGGCCGTGGGCGCTCAGGGTGCGTCATCTCCCGGGATCAGAGCAGGGGATTGCTCGGTGTGGCACTGTGTGCGTTCGTGGAGGGAACAAGCCTAACTCACGAGGGACATGACTCAGATATAACAGATTCGCTCACCAGCACAGTAGACATTCCTAGAGGCCTCCTCTGAGCCTAGCCCTTTGCTGGGCTCTGGGAATCCGGAGATAGAAGGCTCGGGGAGACAAGCCATTGGAATCCAGGGTGATCACTGCTGTGATGTTAGCAAGCACAGCCTCCGTGCTGTCAGGGGTCCACACGACAGACAGCACACTCCAGCTAGGGGCAGGCAGCAGGGAAAGCACAGAGGGAATGTGGCAGCTTGAACCAGGACTGGGGGGCTGTACCACACCGAGGCTTGCGAGGACCTGTGGCCTTTGGGACGAAGAGCAACCCCTGACCTTACCATCCCTTCTTCCCGCTGCCAGGACTCCCGTGGCCAAACTCAGCAGCAGCCAGTGGGCAGCCTCCAGGGGAGGCGCACCCAGCTGGAGCAAAAGGAAATAATCAGGGAAGCCTTCCTAAAGGGGGTGACACGCGGTTTGTGGTGGAAAGATAAGTTCGGGTGAGGGGCTGCTGGAGGCAAAGGAGTGCAGTATGTGAGAACACAGGGGCGCCAGCCAGGCGTGCCGAACGTGGGGATGGGGCAAGGTGGGCACAGTGTATGTGGGGCTGGGCGGGGGGAGGGTGGCGGACTCAGGCCTCCACGGGGGTCGGGCATTTCCCAAGTCGGAAATGGACTGACTGCTAACAAAAGGCAGCCTAGGGCCAAACACTTACTGTACATGCTTCCCAGAGTAAGTAATCCACAAAAAATGTGGAGAATGGACTGAGTCAGTAGTCACTACTTTCTTGTAGCTTTACAGGGAGTCCGTCAGTCTGGGAGACTGCCTGTATCTGGAGGCTCTCCCTCACATCCCTCTCTCCTTTTATTTTATGGGAAAGGTTTGTCACTCTGCCATCTGCCTCAGGCCCACCCTACGTGTATCTTATTAGACTAGACGTCTTCCCGTTAATACATACGAATATAAGCCCACCAGGGGCAAACCTATTCACAAATGGCCTTAAAACATTCCTAAACCGTTTCTTTTCTCTCTCAGAGAGTAGGGAATTCTTAAATCCTCATCGACAGAAAACCCAAGAAGGGGATGGGGTGGCACAGTCTAGCGTGGGCTTTGGAGAAGGCTGACCCACAAGTGGCTCGGGGGAAGGGTCCACGACTCTTCCGTGTGGCCTTGGGGGCGCTCACTGACCACCACTCCCACTTGCCTTCCCCGACGACGGATGCGGACAGCCCCTAGCACGGTCACTAATAACCCGTTCCCTCTTCCGTGATCAGCAAACACAGGCTCCGCCCGACAAGCTCGCAGTGGGGCCTGGTGTGCGTTTCTGAAATTGAGCGGACCTCGGGGAAGATGGACTTGAATTGCAGCATCTCCCATGGGATCCCAAGAGCCCACATTGCCCTCGCCTCTCTGCCACGGGGCAGTGTCACCCCCATTTGGGAAAGCAGGCCACAGGTTGAAGGCACCAGGGCTGTCCCGAGAGCCCGATGTATTGTGAGCAGTCACCACCCCGCGTCAGCTGGGACAGCGCAGGCTGACTTGTCGGGGATGGCAGCAGTAAAGTTTTCCATGTGTAGGCTTGAAGCAAAATGTAATTAGCCTTTATGTGCAGAACAAGGACCCATTGATGAATACAGCTGGTCTTTGTTTTGTCCCGTCATTGAGAGTGGGAGGTAAAAGTGTTCTTCTTCATGTTTATTAATGCAAGATTCCTTAGACAAATGGCAAGCACAGTTTAATATTTGTTGGAACATAGAGGGGCTTGCCAAAACAGTTGTGTAAGAGGATTGCAGGGTTGCAGATTATAACCGTTTCTGGGTTAAATAAATGAATTAGTTCTCTCCTTTTTTTTCCCCCTTTTCTTTTTCTTTCTTTCTTTTTTTTTTTTTTTAGTTAAAAAGGTACCTCCTTTCTCAGAGGGTCACCCTGTGTCCCCATCTTCCCACTTGTGTTAGCAAATGGAGAGTTAGCGCCCCGAA